ATATATATATATATCCGTTTAATACATCTGAAATTAAATTAATTGAGCCTACTTTACTTAGGATCTGTTTGGGGCAGCTTATAAGTGCGGGTGGCGTTTTCAAAATGCGCCATACCGTTTGGTTTACGCATTTCAATAGTTTATTCGAAATTGCGTTTACACCCACAGGTCGACCCCTGCGGTTAGTCCGCGGACCGCGTTTTAGGATAAGCAGCTTATCTTGAAACGCACAAGCTGTCACAAATGAACTCTTAATAATTATGTTACTTTAAATTGATATGAAGATTGCATTTAGACTTTTAATTCCATTAGCAGTCATTGTTTTCGATGGAAATTTGGGCCACTTTTGGTTTGATGTATTCTTTATTACACAATTTTTAATTTACATTTTTAAAAGTTTTAATCAAACATCAAACTAAATTAAATACAAGCCAAAGAAATGTAAAACCTTAATGATCGCAATCTATAACTACTTTAATCCTCTATCTGCATCCTCCAGTATCCAAAATCCGTGCCGTCGAACTTCTCGATCCCTGAAACCTTCACTTCGTCTCCGGTCATCGTTCTTCCTCAGATCCGAACCGGGGCTCTGATACCAATTGTTATGAAAAAAACGACGACAATAAAGCGAAAAATTAGATCGAGAAAAATTCACCGTAAAAAGGCGACACAAGATTTACGTGGTTCGGCAAATTGCCTACGTCCACGGAGCTGCAGAGGATTTTATTAGCTGAAGAAATCACACCGTCGAGCGCCTCGACGTTTACAAAGATTTAATTTTTCTCCTCTCTTTCTCTCTCTCTCTCATTTATTCTCCTCTCTCCTCTCTTTTTCTTAAGCCACGTAAAAAGGTAAAACAAAGAGCAAAGGAATTCCTTCCCAAAAGCAACAGCAGCCTTTTTGTACCTTCCCCCTTCTTTTATGACAGTCGTAGGAGAGAGTGTATGGGAGTGGTGGTCTTAAAGGAGTTAGCTTTGGCTTTTATAATGTTCAGAAAAAAACGCATAAAGGGAATGCATTAAATGGTCTACGCGGAGACATCCTTCCCGCGATTCCGCGGTTCCGCGGAGAGAGAAAAATGAGAGGCAGGAAACACAGAAAAGTGGGAATCATTATTTAGCAAATTAATTAATCATATAATTAACACTAATGATTTCCTAATAAAGAGGTGCACTGGGCTCCACATTCTCAACAATTCTCCCACTTGGAGACCGGGACACTGACTGCACTATCCACTGGCTGTATCGTCATTTTTCCTCAAACGTGACATCCTCCACCTCTGCAACTCAAAACCCATGTCTTCAAGCTACAAGTCCAACTGAAGTCGAGCACAACTTCAGTTTTTCAAGTGTAACACCCTTGGTTAACATATCAGCAGGATTTTTGCTTCCACAAATTTTCTCAAGTAGTAACTGTCTGTCATCTGACAATGATCGAATAAAGTGATACCTGATCTGAACGTGCTTGGTCCTAGATTGAAATGCTGGATTTCTAGCTAGGAATATGGCGCTCTGGCTATCACTGTAGAGAGTTCCTTTTTGAACCTCCTTACCCAATTCCGCCAAGAAATTCTACAGCCATATCATCTTCTTAGCAGCCTCTGATACTGCAACATACTCAGCCTCTGTAGTGGACAAAGAGACTGTCTTTTGTAGAGGAGAGTCCCATGACATTGCAAATTCCCCCGGCCATATCATCTTCTTAGCAGCCTCTGATACTGCAACATACTCAGCCTCTGTAGTGGACAAAGAGACTGTCTTTTGTAGATTAGAGTCCCATGACATTGCAGTACCGCCAAGAGTGTAAATATAACCTGTAGTACTCTTCCTACTGTCAATGTCTCCAGCTAAATCTGCATCAACATAACCCTGTACCTCTAAGCTCTTTCCTGAGAAACACAAACAGGTTTCTGAAGAGCCTTTTAGGTATCTCAAAATCCACTTCACAGCTTCCCAATGTTCCTTCCCTGGATTACTCATGTATCTGCTCACAACTCCCACTGCATGAGCAATATCCGGTCTGGTACAGACCATAGCATACATAAGTGAACCAATAGCTGAAGCGTAAGGAA